CCTCCTCTTCAATATCTCCTTTGCTTCATTTGTGCATTCTTGCTTTTCCTCTCAACTATAAATGGCTTCCGTATTTGGCAATTACTGACCTGCCGATTTCATAGTACTTGTACATACTTTACCGTCCCTTACGGAGCCGACAGAGCGAACGAGATTGGACAATACGATGCCCAAGGAAATCATTACACGATCGGCCACAGCTTTGGATTCACTGTTGACGGCGCCACAACCGAATGAATCGAATGAGTAGTCGTGTTACGGTAGCTGCTGTGTTTCTTTTCGAGGGAGGGGTGAGGGGGCTGATTTTATTGAGAAGGAATCAATTGGGGGAATTAATCGAAAGACCTGGTGTTGAAAGATGTCAATAGCTTGCCTTTTTTTATGAATAGACTTATGAATTTTCTGCGAACAAATCATTAAACCCATTGGTAGATCCTGACTGTGCATCTTACAATCGGGCCACTAGTGATAAATTTCCTCGCGTATCATTGTCCCAAACCATTTTATCGTATCAAATGATATACACCCTGGCATGGAGGAGGCATGGAGGAGGAGATTGAAGTTTCGAAAGATTGAAACCGCAGCCCGATCTTCGCCGCCCGTGGTTTCGAATATTCTGGCATGACTCAATATTTCGAATTACTTATCTCTTAGATAAATTTCATATTTCAGGCAAATGCTAGAAGCAGGATTCGGCCATGGCTGGACGGAAATGCGAACAACTTAGAAGCAAGCAAGAGCAACTGCGTAACAAACAGACAGATCTAGGGGCATTCACGCAATCAAGGCGATCAGCAAGAGTGTACTCAGAATATTGTGCAACTGTACACCAGGAAACGACCTGCTGAATACACACGGCTTCTCATCTGTTGCTATATACACTCACAATTGACAATGATGAGATGTTTCAAGATCATTAATAAGATTCGAAATTATCGGCCCAGGCGTATCGGCTTTTATTTCGCGGTGTATTCCCAAGCGCTGAGACCCGTGCTTGAAAGATGCCGAGACGAGTCACCAATAACTCAATGTGGGGGTACGAATGCTGTCTGACTAGACCGTAAGAGTGACCGTGTGCATCGATAACGAAGCGATAGGTATGTAGATACATAGAGGGTTATGAGTTGTAAAGAGGAACCTTGGTGGTTATCTTGCCTATCACTTGCAGCCGTGTCGAGGTTGTTAAGGGTGATATCCACGCCTGGCTCAATACACCTGCCAAACCTTCAAAATAACTGAGGAGGAAAGGGCATCTCTTTATACTTGACCATTAATCCTTCTAGTGCCCCTCAGCTCAGCCTCAGCGATAATCATTTAGGGCTGATGATGTCAAAGCACCTTTAAGAACCATGATTCCCTCGCACGATAGCTCGGAAGGATTATTGAAACCCCACGATAATTGGTCGACCATTATAGAGAAGATTTATGGTTAAACTCAACGTTTCCGATTCGGCGAGCAATATTGGATTGATGTTGAATTGATATTGAATTAATATTGGATAAATCGATAGACGTGTTTCAAACCCCAACCAAACTAGTAGATAACACGATAAAGACCGTCCCTTTGTAATCACGTTACAGGCAAAACCCTCACGTTTCCATAAATATCCTTAAATAAAAAATCTTCCGATCCACTTGAAAACTTTGTTTGTGAAGGGATATATGAGGAAGTCGAGGTTTCTGAGCTTTGGTTGGTTACTGGAAGCGCCTATAAATGTTGCACCACCAATCATTGTCGCTGTCACAGTACATGTTGGCGCTAACAAGGTGTCTTCCCCGCGTACAAAATAATCGGATGAATCGAATTCGTCGAATTATAGTGGTAAGGCAAGCCGAAATCTATTTCCAGATGACGAGCACGGTCGCAGAATGTGATTGTCTTGGGATCTTTATTTTGGGCTGCATACATCGGGGATTTATGGTGTTGTTGAAAATTGATTGTTGATGTATATAGGTGTAGTATCGTGCTCTTCCTTTATGGGTTGTAACATTTGTGCTTCTGGTGAATTGTATAAAAATTCGAAAATTGTAGTATTGCGGATCGTTCCTCGTCATGTCAGATAAACCAGTCAGTATGGGTCTACAATTATTTCCACCCCCACCATCAAAAAAGAAAACTTGGAGAAGTAACAGCGATGAGCGCAATGTTTCCACATCCGTGTCCGATCCAGATCCAGCTCATCGATCGCAATCGCTCGATATGTTCGTTGATGGACGCCAGTCACCATTCGGTAGTCGCCAAACTCCACAAGATAGCAGAGCAGCGCTCATGAACGTGCCCCCTCCAGCCGTGCTTGCATCGGGTCGTCCAAGATCTCACACTTCTTTTTCGGAAGCACCTACACTTGTGAGAAGCAACAGTAATTCATCCAAATCTAGTCAACACCATCATCGAGAAGAGCCAGTAATGCGATCCATTTTTCCAAGATATAATCCTGAAGTCCCATTAGAATACCAGCAGTATTATCCGACACAGCAAAGTCCACGACACATTCCACAAAACGCAATAAGTAGACAGCCATACTCTCCAGGAATCAACGAGGTGAGCCCCGGAATGGGCAGTCCAATGTCGTTAGGCCCTCAATCTCCGGGATTGGTTGGACGAGGACTTCAAGACGAGACATGGCCAGAACCATCGAGCTCCGCCGACTTGAAGGAGTTATGGAAAGTGAGCAATGGATGGAAAGCATCAGCATCTGAGGGTCAAAAGTTCATCATGAAAATGAACAGTGCAGTAGAAGAGCCTATACACACTCTTTCCTCCGCTACCCAGCCATTTTATACACTACGTCTTCATCCCACTTCAACTTCAGCTCAGGTAACAATGACAAGGCAAAATCCAGCCAAGCCACCGAAAAAATCACAATCCCCAAGAACTGGTGTGTTTCCAAAAGGTGATTCTCAGATGGAAGTGTTGATCACAACTCTTGAGGAGTATTCGCGGCGATTGCCACCAAACGATGGTCTCGTAGCTCTCCTTTATCCCCATGCTGCCTCGAGTATGGCAGTCGATCTGGCTGGACGTTCAAACGTTGCAGACAGTGCTTTAGTATTGGCAGCAGCCGAGCGCGAATGCGGGCGATTGTTGTGGGACGATGATACAAAGAAATTCTATCTCAGGCACCCTGCAGTCAATACCCCATTTCTAATAGCGATAAATTCATCGCCGGCATGGTCCAGAGTCGAATACACGCTTGAGCATCCAGAACTACCACATAACCTTGTGCGTTTGGTGAGAGATGGTAGTGGAACAGGATTCTTAGAAATCGATACAGGGGTAGCGGCTAGAATAGACGCGTTCTATATCGTGGATGTAGCAATTGCCGCTATTATGCTGGCTGCAATGGATGAGGAAAAGAGGATGCATATTGAGAGGTTCGAGGCACCTCCGGCCGCACCAGTACAACCTGATACACCAAGATCAAAAAGGAAATCCTTCTTGCGAGGGGATCAAATGGAACTGGACATAGAGAGTCAAAAGAGTCCAAACTTTAAGATGCTCCCAACCAAGGAAAAGGATAAAAACAAAGAAAAGGTGCCAGGGTTCTGTGGATTGCTCTGGATGATGGTGAAGGCCATTGCTTGGATCTTGAAAATGACAGTGAAAGCAACAGCAGCTATTATAATTGGACTCAGCAAATGTTTGACCAAGAAGAAATGATAGCGTTTGGACAAAAGGGTACACATGGCGTTTTTGACATTTTATCACGACTGGTAATGATTTGGGTTCGGTTATGAACATAATTTCCTTCCTTGGGCTATCCCCGGGGTATCTTATTATTATCGCAGGTCGATGAAGGGGTCGCACCCAGTATGATTCTCTTTGGCCATTATGGTTTCAGCATGCAGCCTTCGACATGACTGAAGGCCAGTTAAACAATTTTATCTCTTCCTTTCTCGTGCCTTGAACTTGACTCCATTCTTGTTAACACCGCCGATCGTTAAAGATTTGGCCATTTTCGCTCGTTGTAAATCCAAAGCCACCTCTGCATCAGTCAGGGCTTTAAGCCGTTGACGTGCAATCGATAATTTGACTTCCAATTTATCCGCCTCCTTTTCCCGAAGTTTTCGTAGATTTCTGGTTGCCATGTCCTCCTTTGTATCCTCATCTTTCTTTGCGTCATCGGATCTATCATCCTCAAAATCAAGATCCATATCCAGATCCATATCCATGTCTGAATCATCCTCTCCCGCCTTTTCTCTCTGTTCTTCCTCATCTTCCACAAATACAACTTTCTTTCCACGTGCTTTGATACCCACGGCTCTCTTTTCTAATTGTTCGACTTCTTTCGATGCCTTATTTCTCTCCGTCCGTACATAGCCCAGATCTTGTGTCTTGAACAATCGCACAGCATCCTGATTTAAAACTTGATTGCCTCGATCTCCGTTTACGGTTCCCGTATATCTTTTGCCGGTTTTCACAGGGCCCTTCTTGCCCACCATCCCAAAGTAAAACTCATCGGGATTCTTCTCGAGCACTTTTTGCTTAAGTGCCTTAAGCTTTGCTTTCTTCTTGTTGAAATCTTTCGCTCTGGCAGAGTAATCCTACAGAGTTAATTAGTATTTTGCAGTATATCACAGGTCATACACTCGACAAAATTCATACCTTATGCTTTTCGAGAAGTCCCCATTTCTTGCGCTCTTCGGGTTGCGATCTCTCTTTATAGGTGCGCCCATCGCGGACTGATTTACTCGCTTTATCCATCTTCTAAACAATGTGCGAATTTAGTCAAGAATGAATTTTGTGGCTTTAAATTAATCTGTCGTATGAATGGGTGAAAAAGTATGAGCTTTTTGATGTTTTTCTTAGATGCGGGATTGTGAAAGTAAGAAAGTTTGAATTCCGATAGACAAAATTTCGACAAGGGTTGACCATCTGCGCTAAGATAAACTAGTTCAACTTGAGAAACTACCTCAGAACATTCGATTTTCTTCAAATTGCGTTATGAGATATCATTGTCGTACATCTTCGATTCGGATTTCTTTTCAATTGATTTCATATGGCAGCTATGACTTCACAAAAGGAGGAGGTAGAAAAGGCTCCCAGGCTACCCATGCCATCGCGGAATCCTCTACCATTATCCGCAGCACAAGAAGCCCAAGTCCAAGAAGTTTATCATACTAGAGTACGAAGTTATTGTGCGGCAGAAATTAAGGGTATGCATTCTCATAAATATGTCTAAGAAGTAGTTTGCTGATGATTAGCATTTAGTATTCGCGGAATGTGCCCTTGGAAGAACCTTTACTGCCCCATTCAAATGCAGAGAACAAAATCGAGCGATGAACAATTGCATGATATCGCATGCCACACAATCAGAAAAGGATGCAGCTAGAGAAGAGTGGTTTTCACTAAGATTACAAAGACAGCGGGACCGTGAAGCAAAGGAGGCGAGGAGGAAGGAACAGGAGAAATTTCATAGGGAATGGTGGGGTTTACCAACCGAAGATAGAGAGGGCGAGAAAGGCAAAGAATTAATGAGGAATGCTGAGAGAGTCGGTGGATTTCCAAAGAGGGATGAAGGACAATTGAGCAAAGACCGGCATAGGTGACCGCGTTTTCCACCTGTAATCTGGGTAGCACAGGCGTTGGGGTTCTTTGCAGCATTTTCGACTAGCGTATGGAACGCTTAACTAGGAATTTCATGTACGACTATACTGATATGACATCAAATCGCATTTCTGGAACGGACGAAGAATTTGAACCGGACTTTTTTTGTTTGAACCATCCGATGTCAGTGGCTATAATTGCCACTTTATTGAACATTTGCAGGCAAGTGCCATTGTCTTTTGACCGATTTTTCTCTGGTTGTCGAAGCTCATCTCAGAAGAACAACGCTCTTGTCTTCTTGAGGCTCTGATAGCGTACATTATATACTTCATTGATCCATTCCTGTACTTCTAGTGATTTTCACCGTCAGTCAATGCCGAGACGATGCATGCTAGCTACATGAAGTGAAGCAACTCCTAATTTTTAGCTACCTGGAAGTTGCTCTCGGTCTGTTCATCGTTGATACGTTCTTTGCTCGGTCTCTCTGACGCCGAACATAATCATGTTCCGACTCACTTTCTTTCAGGCTCCATGGAACCATCTCACCCCAGCAGATCTGCATTCGAAGATGATATTCGACTGAAGTTTGCAGGGTCTGGGGGCTCTACATGCTGCATTTCAATACTGCACACATCGGTTACTTTTTCGGGGACTTTGTCGTTGCCTAGGGCAACTTGTATTGTCATCATTCAAACCACTTTCCTATACTTGTTATTGTGTCTGCCTAGTCTCCGTCCTTGAAACCAACGAGCCAAGTCTCTTGTTATAAGTTTGAAACGATTTTAACACACCAATCGTTCACTACGACAAAGAAAAGTTTTCGAAAAACTCACCCTTTAAGATGCTAAGTCATCATGACAATTGAAGGCAGCATCATCCAAAACCCATCTTTTCTATCATAACATGGCGCAATGCTATTCCTGAACAGTCTGGGAATACCTACTAATATTTTCTACTTTAGATCCAACTAGGATCATAACGCTATTATCATCGAGCATCAATAAGATGGGCGATACCACTACGATGTCAACGGTACCCACGATTTCGACAGCAACACCCGCTTCTGATCCCTCCATCACACCCTCCAATATTCCTGACGAACCCCCTCTTCGACTCCCCGAAACAATTGGTGCCGTCATCGAGGTCCGCACTTCTCCAAAAGGTGGCCTGGGTATATTCGCCCTCTGTACCATACCAACCAACGTCCTCCTCCTAAGCGAACAACCTCTTGTTATTCTCACCGACACAGGAACGCGCACTGATCCCCTTGACGATCTCGTATCCCGATTATCTCCTTCTCGCAAATCTGCATTCCTGTCCCTACATGCTTATCAAGCAAATCCTCGAGAATCCAGGAATAGAAGCATTTTATATAGTAATGGATTTGGAGTGGGTAAAGTTGAAAATCTGTCAACGGGCATTTTCGAAACGGCAAGTAGGTTTAATCATGCCTGTACACCGAGTGCAGAGTATAGATGGGAGGTGGATGTGGATGGGGTAGGAAGAATGAAATACTTTAGCAGGAGAGTTATTGAGGCGGGAGAGGAAATTACTGTGGATTATGGACATGGCGTTATGGGATTGAAGAGGTTTTACGGGTTTGAGTGTGATTGTGGGAAATGTAGAGGGGTGGAGACACGGGGTGTGGAAGGAATGGCGGAAGGGAAAGATGTGGAAATTTTGGGGGAGGTAGAACCCGAAGCGGTTGTGCAGTCAGGTTGAAGGGTATAGGATTGAAAGTGGCAAAATCTGGGATGGATTCGGGCACTCGAGACTACTTTTGAGAGAAACTTTTTGGATATCTGAAAGTTTGCTGAACAGTAAGAAATCCGACACATTACGATATTTCCTTGAAGAATTTGTTTCAAAGACTGCGAGGAAATCAATGCGTCAAGAGTTTTAACAAGCCCCTTAAGACATCACGCTTCTTTAGTATGCCACACATTGACATATAATTTACCTGGTGTTGTATTACCATATAATTGCGAAGCCTCTTAAATATCCAAGAAGATTTTGAAAGGATTTGGGGATCACAAGCGATTTCCTCTTCACACCTTTACTTCGCCTCCCAAGTATACGACTGTAGGATAGTACATGCAATGCATACCACAATGCACAATCACTGTGTCTCGTTTCTGAGCTTTACGATGATATGTCCGGAAAACTGACAATACTTGAAAATCGACGCTTGTTTGAGATGTCGGAAGAGCTAGGAACAGTTGAAAAAGATTTGAAAACTATAAACGTTTGGAAAACTAATTATATACAAGAATTATCCCACAACAATTATCAAACCCTCATATATCATATATCGTACATTGTACAACTTCGTCACTGAAAGACAAGGTAATACACATATTATACAATATGCAAAATGCCACCTCATCCAACCCCCAACATTCCATCTAGGGAATGAAGGCAGCAACATCCTGTGCGATAATGTCACCTAGACCAGTCAACACCAATTGGCGTTTTTCATTTTGTCCCTTTCCAAAATCTGACTCGGTACCGGTGGCTGCACCTTTGATGATTCCTGGCAGACCCGTTGGGAGAAAGCTTTTGAAGACTTCAGTGACATCCTGGGCGGGAATTAGTGAGGTATTAATAAGGGGCCAAGCAGAATGAAGACCAGAGGAACTAGAAACCTACTTTGTTAAGTCCGGTGACTGTTTGCTCTGGAATTACATCGGCCGCGTCGGATTGGCGACGCACCTGATGGGTGGATGTGTTAGTTGTGGTTTTTATTCATTGCTATCTATGTGAAGTTGATAGTAGGATCGACATTAACGCCGCCATTATTGGAAAAGATTTGATTGTCATTGCCGAATGTGTTGCCATTTCTAGAGAATGAATTAGTGAACAGTCTGAATATAAACGGGTATGGAAGAAGCTTACCCATTATTTGAACCTGATCCATTACCATTACCATTACCATTTCCATTCCCCGAATTAGAAGAACCAGCAGTATTAGAAGCACCATTACCACCCAAAGTGTCTATAACTGTGCCAACAGCATTCGCGGCATCTCCAGACGATGATAGAGAATTGGTAATGGGATCGATGGCAGCAACCCACACACCATTGACATATGATGATAGAGTAGGGGTTTTTGATTTCCTTACCTTGTTGAGGATGCTGAATCCTGAGTTTCCTGACCCAATGGCATTCTTGTTTCCGAAAATGTTGCCGTTGCCATCCGAACTTCCGCTGTCATCTCCCTTTCCGTTTCCATTGCCCCAGTTCTCGTTTCCGGCACTGTTGAAGTCAGTGTGAGCACGTTGAGACGGGAGGAAAATTGTGTTCAATAATCGGGACTAGCAGGCTGCTCGAGATACTTTCGATATTCAAAGATCACTGAATCTTGGACTGAAGTCTGGGATCCTAAACACTCTAGAGAGAAGGGGTACTCACGAGTTGCCATTGCCATTCCCATTCAAGTTGCTCAAGGCACTGCCCAAAACATTCGAACCAGATCCACGCTTCAAGATGCTTATTCCTGAGTTATCACTCCCAATAGCATTCCCGTTGCCGAATGTATTACCATTCCCATCCCATGATCCTGATCCAACACCATTCTATGTGTCTGATTAGCTCCGTTACTCAGAAAGTGCAAGGAGACATACACCGTTGCCATTATGAGCATTGTCATTTCCAGCAGCATTTCCCCCACCATTAGAATTCAAGTTTCCAAAAGCGCTGCCCAGAATGTTTGAGCCATAGCCGCGCTTCAAGATGTCGATGCCGGAGTTTCCGCTACCAATGGCATTTCCGTTCCCAAAAACATTTCCATTTCCATCATTCGATCCTGATCCATCACCGTTCTACATATAATTAGCCAGAGGTCTCAAGAATACCAAGGAATACATACGTCATTTCCATTGCCCTTATTTCCATTGCCAACAGAATTGCCCTCGCCATTCCAGTTCAAGTTACCGAAGGCTGAGCCAAGACTTGAGAATTTGGAAGACGGTACGGGGGCAGAAATAACAGAAGCCGTGAGGGCAAAGAGTGCCAAAATGTTCTTAGTATGCATGGTGAAATTTGTTATGATAGATGCTTTGTGTTGATTGAAGATCGTGCAATGGACAGTAATTAAGGCAGTATTGAGCAACGTGTAATGAAGTAGGATGTAATGAAGAAATTGATGATACCTGGATGAAGAGCAGATTCATATTTATATGCAAAATTTCAATCTATATCCTGTACACATACTGAAAATGGAGTGAATATCTAAACTACGACTGGCGTTCTAGACTTGCAGATCTTTGAGCGCGTCACGAGGACCGATGTTCGGTGGGAAGAGGCATTCATCCCATCTGAGGATTGCCGAAGGATGCTTCAGAAAACGCCCAACCAATTTATTGACAAGAGATCATATCAATGATGCTCAATGTATGTGGTGGTGATTAGGATCATTAAAGAGGTGTATTGAGGGATGATCGGATTCCCTGTGGTGGCAGAATCCGTGGTTGACGAATAAATTATTTCGTTAATTGTATTAAAAATTTCAATAGTCAATATTATATTGAAAAAATGAGTCATATAGTATTAATATGATTGATTTTTATATATGTATATGATTAGAAAATTTAATTTTAAAGGGATTTAGAGAAATTTTCGAAATTTCTTGATTTTTCGAAATTTTTTGATTTTCGAAAGTTTTAGTTTAAGGTTATTTACAAATAAAAAAGTTTATTTGTATTGAATTCGATTAATAATCGATTAGTAATCGGATTCAACATATTTTATTTATTTATTTATTTATAGTGATTAACGTCTAATATCTGACCTCCCAAGGGGTATTCTAGACGGACTAAGGAGCGGGCCTACGGGCCGCTAGCGTTCCAGCCGCTCATAGTAGTGTAATGTTAGCTAATCAGAGGCTTAATCGGATTCAACATAAAACTATATATATTAAAGTTAACTGATATTCCTATTAAAACAATATATTCTGTACTTATAGTATAATAGTAAAGCTTTTGATTGAAGAATATTTTGAAAGTGAGTAGCAAGATATAGAACCCCCTTTCCTTTAAACTTTCAGCTAATACATTATCCCATCCTTTAGCTTCTACACTCGCTCCCCTCTTCCTTTAGCTCCCCCGCTCATTCCCCTCCTTCTCCTAGCTTCTACGCTCGCTCCCCTTCCGTCCACCTTTCCTAACGCCTTTCAGCTGAAGGGCCTTTGTTTTCTTTATATTTATTAAAATTCAATAATAAACAATTGTCATTTTGAACTGGAAATATTCGTCAATAATGAAGAATGTATTTCGTCAGGAACAAAAAAAGCTTGAATTCAATAATGTATAACGTGTTTTATCAGCATGTGGCCCATATCAGCATGTGGCCCACTTTCACCTCAATTCACACCTTCAAACCTATATTATTTAATTATTATTAAATCAATTGATTAAAACTATTAAGAATCTAATAATCTAGGATCTATTACATTGTTTTAACAAGTTCTTGAATTGTGATCTGGTTTTCCATATTTACTACAGTACCTATTAGAAAATGCTTCCCTATTAGGATTTCCCTTATTTTGATACTTATTGCATTGAATCTGAATATCAATTTTTTGTTGAGATAATATATCAAAAGTCTTTTGTTCAGTAAATACTCCTCCTTAGTATAATTGGGTTTTTTTCATACATCAACACTTGCTTAATATTTCATTTGCTTTTCGAAGTATACAAATCTCAGCATTCAAAAGTATATTTTCATAAGCTAATCTCTCTATACCCTTAGCTAAAGTTAATACAATTTCGAATATAGGTATAGGAGAGCTTGATTAATAACGAGTTATTCGAGATTTAATTAATATTGATTGAGAAAGAGCTTCAATTGGATTATAAAAGGTTTAAGAGATCCATTGGTTTAAATCGAAAAAGGAGGGAGTAGATATATAAATTCGAATATCTAGTTTCGAAAGTATAACTTCAGAATTAAAGGGTATTAAACCTACTTCTCAAAACCCTGATTTCATATTTTGAATTGTAATTGATTTTTCGTATACAACTTTAAAAACTATAAAGAATTCAATCTTCGAAATATGATTAATATATATCTTGATAAATCCATTAATTTGATCACCATATAAATATTTCAGATTACCAAAACAATCTATATTAAGTAGTTGAGTTAAATAACTTAAATACAATGGTAATCCTAAATATACAATATCATTCTCTTTACAATATGCTTGAAAAGAATTTGATACATGGCTTTCATACTCATCTAGCATCAACATTCGATATTTGCCCTTTCTTTGATTCTTAATATGCTTATCGAAGTATTTCAACCATTCTAAACCTGTCTCATTGTTTGTCCATCCATTAGATATAGGTTTAATAGCCCAATCCATAGGAAAACCGGTTTCGGTATACCAATTGAAAAGATGGACCTGTCCCTGAACCACTAGAAATAGGGGTATAGTTTCACCCTTCCTATTACCACATATAATCACTGTAGCCCATTCTCTATTGCCTGATTATATTGCCTTGCTTCTGCCATTTTGTTCAACACTAGTTACTACCATTCCGGGGCATATTATACCCATTATAAAGCCCGTTTCATCGAAGTTATAGAAATCACAATCGAGAATATCATATTTCGCTTGTATATTCGAAACTAATCGAATGTTAGAGTAGATAATAGCAATGAATCAACTAGGTGTAATGTAGCACAAAGACTTTTCATTAATTTCTCTAAACTATGAAAATTCTACAATTTATAATTGTGCGCGGGTTGGCGTCGGCCCGGGGTAGGCCCGCAGGGCTACTCACGTGTCCTCGCCAGCCCTTACGCGGATTGACCGTGACATCGAAACCACTTCTCAACAAACTTAGGATCTTCACAGAAAGCCCTTTGAAAATCATAAATACAACTAAAACACATCTTTAATTCGATTCAACACTTTACGAATCAATATGCCCAAAGCTTTTCAACACACTTTTTATTTTTCGATTTAAAAATATAATTCGTTATATTTTTCATATTTCTTAATTTAAATGGAAATCCTCTCTCGTCCATATCAATTATATATTCAGAAATAATATTCTCTTCTAGTTTTAAAAGATTATAAGATTTATATCGATATTCAATACAAGAGGATAAACCATCAATTTTATGCCATAATGTTGTACACAGAACATTGTACATATTAGCAATCTTTTGAATACTTAGTTTTTTGTCTTTTTGAATAACTTCGATGGCAAGGAGTATACGAGCTTTTTGATTCTTCGAATTCATCATGGATTGTTGATAAAACACATATTGAAAGAGAAAGGTGTGAATTGAGATAAAAGTGGGCCACATGCTGATATAGGCCACATGCTGATAAAACACGTTATATCAAATATTTATATAGGAATTTATACTAACATTTTATTCATACATAGGTATTAACTCTGCCACCACAGGGATTTACAGGTAAAGATCTGAGCTACACCCTGCGGCTTACAGCGTGGCTTCGTATGTTAAAGGCTAAAAAGCTAGCGTCGGAGATATACAAGCATAAAATGTAAATTAGACTTTTGATTCCCATTTGATATAAAGGAAAGCCACATTCGTCAGATTAGGAAGTATAAAGTGGGTAGCCTGCTCCGATTAGGAAAATGAACAGACGCTTAAGGTTAGCGAGAACCCCCACAGCCTACACAATCTAAGATTGTTTTTAAACCCCGCGGAAGAAATTCCCCTAGACCTTTCATCTTTGGCGTTTGTCAATTTATCCCGAATCAAACTAAGTATCTGGTCATCAGTGTCAAAGCAGTGATTGGGTTGTACACTATTGGAAGAGCAAAGACGCAGGGTTTCCGGCAGTCTGGACTATAACTCGAGAATCGAAAGCCTTCAATTTCCGAATTCTGATAACCTATTAAATTAAAATAGTTTGAGATACTGGATTCAGGAGCTCGCATCCAGTCTACTGATCTAAACTATCAGATACTCTGCAACGACATGATTTGAAATGAATTGTGAAAGAAGAAGAATGAGCCGAGGGAGCTAGGCTTTTCAATAGCTTCGAATGTCTTCTCTAAACAAGTGAGATAGGTGTAGCGGAGCATTGCAAGTGCCATCAAAAAGATACTTGTATCTACTGGAACTTGGAAAAAGATGGAGATGGACGGATGGCAGCGAGCCGAAATATCATTCGATTCCGCAGCGGCAGTTCTTCGTAGTTGAGAGATTTGCCACAATCTGGTATTCTATTGCTGCCTTGGAAATTTGGGTTTCCATAAACAGTTCAAACAAACCTAATAAACGACATTTTGACAGGCATTGCATGTGTTTTTGAGTTCTCTTGCGATTGATCGAAATTCACAGTCGCTTGATATCAAGGTAGAGTGATGATTAGGCTAAGCCAGGAGACGTTAGCTTTTGAGGTTATTATATGGGGACACTAGAAGGGACCTCGGAAGTATACAATATTTGAACACTCTCGAGCCTCTCTCCTCTCTCCTCACCTCAATAAATTAAGTTTTAACCACCATGTTACTAAAAGCTACCTAGTTATCTACCTAGCTGGGTGATTTACGCCTCTTATCCTGTGATCTTCATTATATGGAGATTCTTACCTTCGTACCCTGCATACATCACCGGAAGTATCTCCATTGAGGTTAAACTCAATAACATTGGTGTACAGTGTGCCATCCCTTTCCTCGCCGGATGGGCAAACAAAAAAACAAAAGTTATTTGAAAATCACAATTTCACGGTTTCATACAGTGATAATAAAAAACTGCATGGTGCATCTACTTCCAACTAACCGTCATTTCAGGTTGAATGTACTTGACCTGAAACTCGTAGCCATTGGATTCCATTTGGCCTCCGAAATCGATGTTAAACATGTTCCCGAACAAATTCTAGTCAATTTGATTTGGTAGACTGACAAATCGAAACTTCTGATTGTAAGAAACAGTTCAGTCATTTGGAAAGATGCTTCCGCACCAAGAACTGGTTTAGATCATCCGCACTGCACTACTTTACTGTCTTTTCAGCTGCCTTTCGAAACTTACTCAATATTGGAATGTTCGGTCCCAGGCGATTGGCACCATATTTTGGGCGCCACCTAGCAATACGGTTATATGCCTTATCCTAATTATCCCTTTCCTTGTGGTGATCGTCCAAATATTCATTCGACGTCAGCGGTACTAATTTGCCAGCCGTGGGTTGTTGTGGCTCTGCAGTGCAGGTCACCAGTCTTATTTTCCAAGAGATCAGCATCAAAATGGAGCTTTAGACTACCTTGACCTGTGTCAATCTTTTGTGAACATCGATTCTCAGCAAAGATCGCGATGAATTCAACTTTCGTCCCCGTTCAATCAGGCAAGAAAGAGCAAATCAGCCGATTCAGATATGACGGCCTGGTTCTCGGAGCTAGAGACTTTTTGTTGTGCCGTCGATTCTGTGGAGATATTCAAATATGAAAATATGGATATATAAGAACCCTTTCTCCTTTTTTTTAACAGCCTTATATTCACAATAATTTCCATCTTTCATCGATCCATTCACCTCCTATCCAATTCATCAAATCAAAAGTTATAGACCAAATATAAAATATACAATCATGAAAGTAACAACAATTGTTGCGCTATTGGCATTGACTGCGAGTGAAGTCGCTGCGTACCCTCGATTGGCTGCAGAACATGCCGAAAGACTCGCAAAATCTCAACTTGGCAAGCGAAGTACGGCTACTCGTGACCCACTTCAAAAGAGAGTCAGTTTTGATGCTGCGTCGCAGTACGTTAGCACGACAGGAGAGCATGCCTTTGTACCACCAAATTTCGGCGCAGGAGATGTTCGAGGACCTTGTCCAGGATTGAATGCCGCCGCAAATCATGGATACATCCCCCACAGCGGAGTCGGTACTATAGGCGACTTTATCGATGGTACCAATAGGGCATATGGCATGTCATTGGACCTTGGAACATTTCTTGCTGTTTTTGGCGCCGTGTTCGATGGCAACTTGCTATGTATGTTTGAATGCTTCCTTTCGTGTAATGATACTGACATCTCATAGCTTGGTCAATTGGTGGACCAACACCTAAAGTTGGCCTTCCCCTGGGCAATATTTTGGGGCTGACTGGAACTCCTCGAGGCATTTCTGGCTCCCACAACAAGTACGAATCTGATACCTCTCCAACTCGCCCGGATCTGTGGCTAGCTGGACAATCCTATAATCTTGAAGTCCCACTGTTCCAGAAGTACTACGATGCTTTGGTCGAGGGTGTTGGTGCCGATGAACAATATCAGAATCTTCTTGACTTCAGAATCGACCGCTTCAATAACTCTATTACAACAAACCCCTACTTCTTCTCTTCGCTCTTTGCAGGTGTTCTTGTTTCTCCTGCCGGCTATAATTTCCCAGTCCGAATGATGTCCAACAAATCTGCAGAATTTCCGGAGGGCTCGTTAACTAAGAAAGATTTAATGTCCTTCTTTGCCATCACAGGCGAGTCTGGCAACTTTCAATATAAAGTCGGCAATGAACGTATTCCAGACAACTGGTACAAGAGAGCTATCGGTGATGAGTATACCATCGCTGGTTTCCTTGTTGATGTTGTCGATTATGCTCTGCAATACCCACCTCTTCTTGATATTGGTGGAAATATGGGAACGCCCAATACTTTTGCACCTGTCAATCTTGGATCTTTGACCAAGGGTGTGTTTCAAACTGGATCCTTACTTGAGGGAAACAACCTGGAATGTTTCGTTTTTCAAGTCGCACAAGCAGCACTCCCAGATATTGTTGCCGGCGCCGTTGGGAATCTTGCAAATACCATAAAGCCATTCACCGATGTTGTTACTCAACGTCTTGGTGGCTTGGGCTGCCCGCAATTACAAGGCATTGATCAAAGTCAATTCTCGAAATTCCCAGGATACACCAATTGCAAAAATGGATGTACGAAGTATTAGGCGGATTTGAGAGCAAGGGCTGTATGATAGAAGGGAAACATTCTAATGTTAACCTTAACGATTTATGATTGCGTCGAAGATTATAGCGAACTCTGGAGCAGGAATTATTGATTTCTTTGTATTATAATTTGTATAAATTAATGTAAATTATTAACTGAAATGTACCTACTTTGGTTTGGGACTTGTTTTCCCAAGAATATACTATTTCAGTGTCAATAAAATACTCGTGTAGCTGGCTAATCGTGTAAGCTTGGCTAGTGTCCTTTGAAGCACTGGTGAAGCTTCAATGGATGGTGATCTTATTACCTCGTGAAAGAATTCGAAGATCACGGCACGTCTCTTTTATACAAGTCAAGGGTTTGGCCTGATCTTCATCGAACTACAAACCGGCGCTGAAATCAATTCCCGTATCAATATCACGCTTAATCTTGCTGATCGCGCCTGCTTGTCAGCCTTGTTGATCTCCATAAAACGAGGCTGAGATCCCCTCATCCTGCACCTCGAACTTCTGCGGTTCTTCACTTCTCAACACCAGCATTATGAATTTGTCACTAACGGATCCTTTTGTTCTTGCACAAGATTATCCTGAATCGTCCACTCTCACTCTTCGCAGTGGCCATGCTTCCTGCGTGCGCTTCAATCGTAAAGGCGACTTTCTTGCCGCAGGGCGCACTGATGGCACAGTCGTGATTTTTGATGTCGAGACCAACGGCATAGCACGGAAGCTCAAAGGACATACACGACAAGTGCAATCGCTAAGTTGGTCGCGCGATGGCAGATTCCTACTCACATCGAGTCAGGATTGGACATGTATTATTTGGGATTTGATGGACGGGAGTATTCTGAGGACTGTACGATTTGAGGCACCGGTATACTTGGCAGAATTCCATCCTTGGACACAGTGAGTCTAAAATATTAGTTTTAGTTTAGCTTTAGGATGGTGGCTGATTCTTTCTGCGTATGCTAGTTTGAAGATATTGGTCTCATTGTTTGAAGATCCGCCCCTACTGGTAGATCTTACGAATCTCCAAGTAGTGAAATACATTTTACCTTCTACTATTAAAAAACGAACAGTATACGGAGAAGACGAATCAAAACCGATCGCACCACAAACTACAACAGTCGCAATCTTCACCGCCTCGGGAGATCACATACTTTCGGGTACTAATAAAGGGTGGCTGAATATAATAGAAGTGGCTACGAGGACGGTTATTTACTCTACAAAATTGTGCACCGGCGTGTTACTTTATATGAGGCTTACAACTTCTGGACGAGACGTGGTAGTCAATGCTCAGGACAGAATTATTAGGACGATCCAGATACCGAATTTATCAGCTGAGGATCTGGACCCTGATACGATAGATATTGAAGTCGAGCACAAATTTCAAGATGTGGTCAACAGGCTGAGTTGGAACCATGTAGCGTTCAGTGCAACGGGAGAATATGTAACGGCTTCAACATTTAACAATCACGATATTTACATATGGGAAAGAAATCACGGAAGTCTGGTAAAGATTCTGGAAGGACCCAAGGAAGAGCATGGAGTGGTTGAATGGCATCCTCACAAGCCGATGATTGCGGCATGTGGCTTGGAGTCAGGAAGAATACATATTTGGTCCATAGTTCCGCAACAAAGATGGTCGGCTCTAGCACCGGACTTTGCTGAAGTCGAGGAAAATGTCGAGTATATTGAGAGAGAGGATGAATTTGATATTCATCCCCAGGAGGAGATTCACAAAAGGAGACTGGATGCCGAGGACGACGATATAGATGTTCTAACGGTTGAACCAATCAAGGGTGATGTAATCGACGAAGACAACGCATTTAGGATGCCGGTACAACTCGATGGTGATGATACCGAGAGCGAAGAAGAGTTTGTAGCTGTAGGCAGGGGTGAAATGAGAAGGAAAAGTCCATCGGATGGACGCAACTACCAGCTTGATTCGGAAGCAATTGGCAGTGCAGATGAACAGCCTCGAAGGAAGAAAGGTAGAAGACGTTGAATCATGCATCCTTCTAAATTTTTCGATAAATGGCGTTTTCTAGGCAAGCATGTGGTCTGGAGTTTAAGGTGGGAAAGATATGTTTTCGGTGGGTACTTGACTGACTTGCATATCATATGCAGCCGTCAACCATTAATAGCTTACACATTAAGAATAAATAATCTAGCAACAAACTCACCAGCACTTCCCTTCGTTATCTTATCTCACAATTTTTGCATAAAGTATTTATACAAGACATGAATCTCCCGTTTCTAGTTCTTCGAAACAGTACGAAACTCTTTGGCTGTATAAAAAACGCCTCGAATCCTGCAAATCGCTTACCCATAACCTTTTCATTCCTGATCCTGCAACTACACCGCAGTCTTGCTCACCCGTCTTACATTCCTATCACATCTTTACCTAAAAGGTGGCTGCATCCAGGGACTTACCCCTCACTCTGAATTCACTTACATAAAGAACGTGATAAAGAACCCCCTTCTCACCATGTTGTCAAGACCCGCTCCTCCTCTTCTCACAATAAAAACAACGTTTCTTGTACCTCCCACAAATCTCATAGCCGTTTCTACAGGTACTGGCACACAATCATCAAGCTCAGAATCCGCAACGACGTTATCGGCTATTTCAGCAGTTGCCAAATCGGCACTCCCGATTTCGAGAGCGGGATTGTCGAGGAAGATGTCGGGATTGGCGACTATGGGGAAGGGAGAGGCGAAGGAATTTGATTATATTGTTATTGGGGGTGGAAGTGGTGGAAGTGGGACGGCGAGGAGAGCGGCGGGCCCCAAGGAAAAAGGGGGGTGGGGCAAGAAGGTTCTGCTGGTGGAGGAGGGGAAAAGTGGTGGGACTTGCGTTAATGTTGGGTGAGTTTTTTAGGGCTCTTTCTTGTTTTGAGCAAGTTGAGACGCAATTATAAAGGATCTTGTTTTGAGATGGTTGGAGCAATTTGAGCCAAGTAACTCGAGATTATGCACCTTATCTCAAGTGGAACGAGGATCACATCGATAGCACTTTTTCACGTCTAGTAGAGGTTGTTTGGTTTCATTAGTATCTGAGTATTGCTTTTTTCTAGTCAGTTTGAAGAGGAATCGTTGTTTCATAAGTCTTTCAGCGTACATTCTGTTCATGTACTTAGAATCACAACTCATATCCTGGCGAGTACTGATAACAACACAGCTGCATCCCCAAAAAGCATACTTGGAATTTCTCTTCCATGGCTGAAGCCCTCCGTGCTAGTCAACACTATGGCTATGAAACTCCCTCAAATATTCCCTTCAACTACGCCGCTTTTAAAGCCAAACGCGATGCCAAAATTGCTACTTTAAACCGTGGTTACGAAACTAACTGGGAACGCGAGGGAATAACTCTCGTTCGTGGAACCGCCAAGTTCGTCGCTTCGAAAACCATTAGTGTGGAATTGGAAGATGGAAGTGGTGTTGAGACATTCAAATCCGAACATATCTGTGTAGCTACTGGCGGCAAACCAATTGTGCCGAAAATTCCCGGTTCCCATTTTGGCATCACTAGTGATGGATTCTTCGGACTTGAAGAATTACCCAAGAAAATTGCGGTGGTGGGAGCAGGATACATAGCAGTTGAGATGGCGGGAATGTTGAATGCTATTGGAGGCATTGAAGTCCATATGTTTATACGCGGAGAGAAGATTTTACGAAAATTCGATCCGATGGTCTCGGAGACGATGACGAGGACGTATGAGGAAGCAGGGGTTATTATCCATAGGGGGTATAAGGGGTTTGCGAGAGTGGAGATGTGGAGTGGGAAGAAGAAGAGCGAGGAGAAGGTGTTGAATTTGAGGTGGGATGGTGATGATGGGAATGGATTGGTAGTTAATGAGGTGCTTTGGGCGGTGGGGAGAAGTCCCGAGACGGAGGGATTAAATTTAGGGGCTGTGGGGATACTGACTGATGAGAAGGGCCATATTCGGGTAGATGGATTTCAGAACACAAATGTGGAGGGAGTTTACGGTTTGGGAGATGTGACGGGTCAGATGGAACTTACACCTGGTAAGTATTTTTTGTTTTTCCATGCTCGGATGCAATGAATTGTAAGAGTATCTAACATGTAAAAAGTTGCCATAGCAGCTGGTCGACAGCTTTCCAACCGACTTTTCGGTCCCTCCCAATTTTCCCAATCTGCACTCTCCTACTCGCTCATCCCAACCGTTGTCTTTGCGCACCCTGATGTCGGTACCATCGGTCTTACAGAACCTGAAGCCCTCCAAAAATACGGGGCTGGCAATCTCAAAATTTATCACACAAAGTTCGCAGCCATGTTTTATGATTTCTTTCCGCTAGAAGAAAAGAAAGGTATACCAACTGAGTTTAAAATTATCTGTGAGGGCGAGGAAGAGAAGATTGTGGGATTGCATTTGATAGGACTTGGGGTCGGAGAGATGCTACAGGGATTTGCGGTGGCAGTTAAGATGGGGGCTAGGAAGAGAGATTTTGATGCTTGTGTGGCCATTCATCCAACAAGTGCGGAGGAAATTGTTACAATGAAGTAGAGATTAGTGGAGGAAAATGGGTGTGATATGGTGACATGGAATTATGGGTATAATAGATTCATGGCTGGGCGGATGGGTAGATGAATGGATGGATTGGAAAAGGTAACAGGTGGCAAATTGAACAAAGCAAATGGGATGGGCACATTGTGAACGAAACTGGTGCAACGAAGGCCTGGTCATAGGAATTTGGTTGTCATGATAATGAATTATAGACTCTTTTCTTTAAGCTTTATCCTGCCATACATAAGTGACGAGCGAGAATATGTCTATCCATCCACAACAACTATCTAGATTGTACCTGAAAATGAGAATGTCTGGTCAGTCACCAGAAAATCTACTTGGAGGGTGAATATAATTGTATTTTACCTTACAGTAGTGAATGCCCTGGTGAATGTACATGTTTGATAGAATCCAGCTCAGAAATTGTGTCATGTATATCACATCAAATCTGAACAAGTTTTGTATCAAATAGGTACTATCTGACATCAAACAACATCAAAGTAATTGCTTTTTTTTTTTTTACCTCTGAAGTATCTGCCATAGCTTGTATAGCAATCAATGGAATTTTGCACCATGCAGGCACGTTGAAAGGATCTTCTACTTGAAAGCTCTACCTCTTCAGAGCTTT